TTTTTTTGTAGAGATAAGGTCTTGCTATGTTGCCCAGGCAGGTCGCGAACTGCTGGGCTCAAGCTGTCCTCCCACCTCTGCCTCCTGAAGTGCTGGGATCACAGGTGTGAGCCGCTGCACCCGCCCTGACAGTCACTTTCTAAGACAAGATTCACAAAGATGAAGATAACATTCTCAGATCCATTACCTACATATCCTTTCACTGGAAGGTGAATTCCTCCAGTAATCATCTATTCACCTTGACTTTGGATCCTTATTTCATACATGGGGCCTGATGAAGCGTCAACTTGAAAAAATTCAGAAAGTTTCGCATGTTGCCTTCAATGTTTGATACTATTTAAACTCTAGGTGAACAGTTTGGACAGGGATGATGTTTCAGAAAAGTTTGGCTGACAAACTGAGCTTCGATGGAATGCCTGTTTCCCAGGCATAGAAGCTGTTTTGGCTTGGTGAAATGAACTTCAGCCACCTGAAAGTGACTTCACGGACTGTGTGTCAGTCACCCCACCCCACTCCCTGGAGCTGGTCTCCTATGGAGCACATCTAAACATCCAGAAGGTTTGCCAGCCTAACTTTTACCTTCAATGCGTTGGTCCTCTTCGTTAGTGTGGATGTTCCTGAACATTTCCACGTCTGCTCCTGTCTTGACATTTCGTGCTGGACGCTCCGTGCCTCCAACTATTCCTTCAGGTTGAATCTGCTCCATGTTTCCTGGACCTTCAGGACTTTTATGGAGTGGATCATTCATAATAGGCTTTTCCACAAGCTGACTTCTGTCCAATACTTGGGGTGTTATATTCTCTTTGGGAATTGTTTCCAGAAGCTGGGGCTGCTTCTCTTTTCCCAATGTTGCCTGAAGTTGCTGCTCTTCAGCTGTTTCCACAAACTGGCTTCCTTCCAATATTTCTGGAGATTCATTCTCTTTGGAAATGGTTTCTAGAAACAGAGCCTGCTCATCCTTTCCCATTGGACCCTGAGGTTGTAGCTCTCCAGCTGTTTGCAGAGGCAGAGTGTTCTCAGTTGTTCCTAGAAGCTTCATCTCTGCAGCAGTTTGTGGATTCTCAGTGTCCTCCACTGCTCTGAGGCAGTCCTTCTCTCCTGCTGTCCGCAAAGGCTGACCCTTGGCTTCTGGTCCTAATGGCTCAGCCTCCGCATTTCCTTTTAGAGGCTCAGCCTTGGTCCCTGCTCCTGCATCTTTCTTCTTTCCTTCCGCTGCTGGGGCATACTTTTTGCTACCTGGCTGAGGCGGCCCTGATTCCTCCGGTCCCTCTCCAGGCTGGGTCTTTTCTGTGGACCCTGACTGGTCTGCGGCATCCCTTCCAGGGGCTAGGTCCTTGGCCAGGGGCTGTTCCTGCAGGGGTTTAACACCATTAGCTGTAGGCTCTGCTGAATCCTTGAGCTTTTGTAATGGAGGACGGGTTTCCCTTTGTACATTGCCATCAACGGTAGATTTTCTTCCCAGTGTACGTGGCTTTGGTTGGGCAAAGCAGGACTCACTTTCTTCTGTGGTTGAAAAATGCTCATTTGAAGTTACTTTTTATTATTCATTTGAAAAGTAAAAAGAAAAGAGAAAACAAATTATTGTTTAGTTTTATCTTGAAAAGTGAATTGACATCACTAGGTAGATTTCACAGTTCAAGGCAGTTCCAAGTGTATCTGAGTACAGAAAGGCCATACCATGATCCTAATACTTTAATACTCTCCGAGTCAGATTCCTTTACTGTCTTCAGCTCCCCCATCTCATCTTAAGCTCTGAAGTCCTCCAAAACCACAAAACCACAGTTTTCTCCTGTTTGCTCCTTGTGCATTTTCTCATGGCTCCTGTCTCAGATTCTAACTGAGCCTGCTCCACTTTGACTTTCTGCTCTTTTTCTTGTCTTACCCTTTCTCCTCCTCTTAGAAGGTTTCCTTTTAAAATTTTTTTTCCCTTTTTTTTTTTT